CTGTCACCAAACCTGGGGCTCCCCTCCCTGTGCCCGCACGTGGCAGCGTGTGGCCCTGCCAGAATGGGGGTGCAGGCAGCGCAGGCAGGGTGCTGGGACCCCTCTGCCCATCCTCCCCGAGGGGTGCAGGGGAGCCTGTGCAGGCAGGGGTGAGCTGGAAGCACAAGCAGTGCAGGCAGTGCAGGCAGGGTAGGGAGTGCAGGCAAAGCAGGCAGTGCAGGGAATGCAGGCAGTGCAGGGAACGGAGACAGTGCAGGCAGTGCAGGCAGCACGGGCAGCCCAGGCAGTGCAGGCAGCAGCACAGGCAGAGGAGGAGCAGGAGCTATAGTGGGGTGAGTGGCATCAGCAGTCTGCCCTGCAGCCCCTCCTTCCACGGGCACCGTGTGCCCCCTCCCCACCATGTGCCCCCTCGGACTCACCGCACCACTCGTCCACCCAGGCGAAAGCCTGCCGGTGCCCGATCAGCAGGATGTCCCGGATCACCTGCAACCCCATGGGGGTCAGCATCCTGTCACTGCCCCCCTCAGTGCCCCCCAGCCCCCCTTGGGCCCCCCTCACCTTGTGCACGAACTGCTCCACGCGTGTCTGCAGCCCCCACACCTCGAACTTGACGCTCACCAGTTTGTAGGAGCACATGATGGGCTTGGTGTGCTGGCGCCAGCCCTCCCGCAGCGGCCCCCGGCCCGTCTTGGCCGAGCTGAAGAAACGGGGGTCCTGGGGGCATGGGGAACATCAGGGTCATGAGTCCCCCTCGGGACAGGAGACAAGGGAGTGGCTCCAGGAGCTCCCTGGTCCCCAGCCCTGGTACCTCCAGGCTGCGGTAGTAGCGCTCAGGAATCTCATCAAAGGCGATGTCCAGGAAAGAGACCTCGTGGTCACCAAGGATTTTGTCACTGTGGAAGATCTGGGGAGGGGAGAGAAGGTGAGTGACACAGACCACAAGTCATGAGGTGATGAGTTTGCCAGTTCTCAGCTGCACTGCTCACTCACGTTCTCGCTGTCCCCGCAGTTGTCCTCGTACTTGGTCTCGATGTAGATGGAGAACTTGGGCAGGAAGGAGCACTGCAGGGAGTGGCTGTCAGCTGAGCTCCCAGGGACACCACTCCCAGGGACGCCCACCCTGAGGGACACCCCACCCCAAGGGACACCCCACACCCAGAAGATGTGCAGTCCAGGGACACCGATCCTGAGGGGCACGCAGCCCTGAGGGACAGCCACCTCCAAGGATGCTCATCCCCAAAAGATGTGCAATTCAAGGACACTGATCCTGAGGGACACCCATCCATCCAAAGGACACCCAGCCCTGAGGGACACCCACCTCCAAGGATGCTCATCCTCAAGGAACACCCCACCACAAGGCCACCCTCTCCAGCGGATTCCCACCCCCAAGGAAATCTGAGCCCCAAGGGACACCCACCCTGAGGGCTGCCCAGCCCTAAGGACACCCACCCCAGGGCCACCCCCATGGTGACACCCACCCTGATGGACTAGCAGTCCTAAAGGATACCCCTCCCAAAGGATGCCCCCCCAGTGCCCCCTCCCCAGCCACCTGCTGGGGGAGGGCACAGCTCATCCCATGCCAGCCCCTTACCGTGTACTCTGCAGGGACACCATGGCACATTGGCATCACGGGGTGGCATCACCAGGTGATATCACAGGGGAGAGAGGGAGCAGTGAGGCCGGGGGCAGCTCCTGCAGCCCCCTCAGTGGGCAGGGACAGGGTGCCCGGGGTGCCCATCCCACGCCCTGCCAGGCTCACCTGTGATGGTGTAGGGGTAGTAGTTCCAGGCCTTCTCGGTGATGTAGAAGATGCGGGGGGTCACTGCCCGTGCCCAGCTTGGCAGTTTGCTGTGGGCACCGTGTCAGGAGACCCCCTCAGAACAGGACATGGCTGGTGCCACCCAGCCCTGCACTGCCAAGCACAGCCTGGCTCTGGGATCCCCATTCCCACCCCAGGAACCCCACCTGCTCCCTGGCACCCTCACCTGCACCCCAGGGACCCTCACCTGCACCTCAGGACCCTCATCTGCACCTCAGGGACCCTCACCTGCACCTCAGGACCCTCATCTGCATCCCAGCACCTCTCCCTGGAGCCACTGCCACCTCCCCAGCACCTCCATCTGTATTCCAACACTGTCATGCACCTCAGGACACCCCCAGGGACCCCTGTCACCTCCCCAGGACCCTCACCCCTGCCCCAGCTCCTCACCATTCACCCTCAGCTCCACTCCAGGATGCCTTCAAGGACCCTCACCTGCACCTCAGAACAACCCCAGGACCCCTGTTACCCCCCCAGCACCCTCCTTTACACCCCTGAATCATCACCTGCCCCTTACAGCACCCTCAGGGACCCCTGTCACCTCCCCAGGACCCTCCCCAGTTTCCCAGCCTTCCCCCACCAGAGACCCCTGCCACCTCCCCAGCACCTTCATCTGTACACCAGGACCCCCAGGGATCTGTGCCAACTCCTCATCTCCACCCCAGTGCCCCTCAGGTTCCCCAGCTCCTCCCCAGACACCCTGACCCCTCCCCAAGGAACACCCATCCCCCACCCTGGACCCTCACCCTTCCCCAGGACCCCTTGCCCTCCCCAGGATCGAGCCCCTGGGTGCTCCTGTCTCCCCCAGCCCCCCGGCAGGATCGGGCCCCCTGGGGGGGGCTCGGGAGGTGGGTTTTGATTAATTTTCAGGCGTTATAAATAAATTTCAGGCGAGAGGGGAATCGTGAGTGCTGCAGCTAAAAATAACCTGTCTCACACCAGCAGCTCCTGGTGGGGAGCAGCCCGTGCCCGCAGGAGCTGAGGGGACATG